GCCCTTTTCAAAACCCTAATTTCCCGACTTTTTGGTTACTTCTCAATTCTTGATCCAATGGTCACCAAACTTCATGAGTAGATGTAACATAACATTGGGAACATAACTGGCTTCAATTTTGGGTCAAAACCCTAGTGTTCAATGGCTTGACTTTTCCGTCAGACGAACCGAACGATTGGAAACCTCTGAATCGACTGTTAGTGTTCTGGGTTCCCCGAGGCCTTGAAACTTCTTGTGTAGACTTATTTTGGTCATATGAGCTTTATGGACCATGGTTCCACCATTGGAGACCTCCTTAGGTCAAAAGTCAAACTACAGTTGACTTTTCCAATCAAAAACCCTAAGTTAGGTTCTTGGACTGCACTGTTCTTCTTCCTTGGGTGACAACCTCAAATTGGATTCATACTTGATCCAATGTGATATCCTTGATGATATATAGAATTGCTACATGGAGAATCAATCCAAAACCTTGACAGATCAAACCATAGAAACCCCGATTCCTGACTGTGTGAAACCCTAATTCACCTGCATCTTGTCAAAGATCAAACGTGAAAGAGGTTAAGGTTAGATAAAAAATGTTGATGTCCTAGAACGATTATGGAATCTAGGGGTCAAAATTTGGGGTATGACAGGTAGCACTCACACTGTCCTTAGAAACCAAAGCTTTTTTCTAATACAGTTTAGAAAGCTTTTCCCCTTTAGCCAAAACCAAGTTACCTTTGTTAAGTTTCCACTTTCTAGAACCAAAGTGATTGTCATAACCAGAATTATCAAGCATATGCACAGAGATCAAATTAAAATGAATATTTGGAGGATGTTTGAAACCTCTAAGCAACAATTGCATTCCCATGTTGATTTGCAAGCAAACATCACCAACACCAATTACCTTAGATACACCATCATTACCCATCTTCAACACTCTAAAATCACTAGAAGTATAAGATGTGAAGAAGTCCTTCTTTTGTGTAACATGCAATGTAACACCACTTTCAACTATTTATATTCTCTCGTATGATACAAGATTAACAAACTCATGATCATGGAGAATAACAAGATCATCACTAGTAGCAGTAGTAACATGATCATCATCGTGATCTTCATGGTCTCTTTGTTTAGACTTGCCCTTCTTTACTTTGTTATCTCTTTTCCACTGATAGAAATACTTATGTACATGTCCTATTTTGTGACAATAATGACACTCCAGATTCTTATATCACGACTTAGAATTACTTATGCTATTATCTCTACCACCCTTCGGTTCCTTTTACGAATTCTCCCCTATTTTCAGTGACAATTGCCTCAGATTGAGATGAAGAACCTCGTGTCTTCCTTCTCATCTCCTCATTAAGTATACCATCCTTAGCCATTTCCAAAGAAACAAAACCTCTAGGAGAATAACTTGTGATAGAAACCTGAAATGTCTCCTAAGACTCTGGTAAAGATAGCAATAGAAATAGTCCCAAAAGTTCATCATCAAATTTGATACTCATTCCTGACATCTGATCAAGGAGTCTTTGAAATTCACTCAAGTGACCTGAAATAGAAGTCCCATCCTTATACTTCAAACTTATGAGGCTATTTAACAAGAAAAATTTATTATTCCCTGATTTAGAGGCATACAAGGACTCTATCTTCTACCACAAAGTTTTTGCACGTGTCTCATTAGCAATATGATTATAAACATTATCTTCTAGAAGTTGTTGAATAAACCACATACTTGTTGATGTTCAAGCTCCCATTCTTCATCAGACACAAAATCCGACTTTGTTGAGCTAAAACTGATAAATGCAATTTCTTCATAAATAGTAAGTCTTTCATCTTGCCCTTCCATAAATGGTAATTAGAACCATTCAAAAATACCATCTTCATCTTTGTATTTGAATCCATCATTCAATAAAGTAAAATAGCCCTTAACCAAGAGCTCTGATGCCACTCAAGTCATCATGAGGAGCATCCACATTGGGTCAAGAGCAACAAACAAGTGAGAGAGACGCCACATATTCACCAAAAACCTTAAGGTGATAGGTGTATGAGTCCTCTCACTTATAAAGTGTTCAACATCAATTTTTCTAAACAATATGGGACTTCCAACTCACACTTGTACACAACAATATCCCCTTCAAGTTTGAGTCAATTCAGTATACTCCTCCTCAAGTGGAAGTTGTTTCATCCACATACACTTGTACCGCTATTGTAGGCACTACAATGGAACACGCCACCTAACCACCACATTATCATAAAGACTTTCGATACAAGGAGTCATCCCCTTAATTGAACCATCGGCTCTGATAACATTCTTATGAAAAATTAAGACACAATAATAGATCAATGTGCAGCAAGTATATAATTCATCACACTTATAGGAACCTTGATGATCAACAACAAATATAAGACGACAAATCGAACAAATAAATGTACAAAAGAACACCAATATTTTAACGTGGAAAACCCCTCAATATGAGATTAAAAACAATGAGACGTCTAGACTAACAAAATAGCTCCATAATAATCAATTAAGAGTATAAAAGAGTATTAAAGTGATTCACAAAATAGTGATAACAACTGCAAATTCCAAAGCAAACTACCTTACGAATAAGAATAAAAAAGTTGAAAAATTACCCAAATTTACATCTTCAATGCGAAGCTGATAGCACTCGGCTCAGATCTTGTTTTGAAATTCTGAAAGGTCAAAAGTTAGATATAGGTGTTGCAAACATGCCCTCCAAATTCGAGTTGGATCCGTCGGTTAACGAATCAGGGATCGTCGATTTAGTGAGACTGATTGCAGAAAAGCAAGAATTAGTTTCTCTCTTTTGAATCCTTATTTTATCTTTATCTCTCTTAACCCTAAATTGATTCTCTTCACTTAAATAAGTGAGACAAATGGGCTAATCATATTTAGGAATTTTTCCACATAGGAAGGGAGTCCAAACCCAACACTTACTTCTTCAGCATCAAATATCTCTTGTTCCACCTCAGAATAATGGCATAACCCGTGGGAATCAAATTCTGATTCTAACGAATTTCCACATCAAATTCATCCAATTTTCAAAGTCACATCTCACCAATAACGGTCTCGTGCGACTAGTGATTGTAATCTCCAATCAAACTATTATAGTCACCTCCCGAACACCTACCTTGAGATCACCAACAAACCTCATTGTTTCCCCTTGATAGAGGATCATCCAACTAGAAGGAGAAGGACAAGAAACATACCGCGTGGAATTCCTCAAAGTCCCTGACGGCAGAAGGAAAATCGAAGAATGAAAGACTCATCATAGGGTTCGAGTTAGCAAAAAGTTGGAAGGGATCCCTAATGTGACACTTCCATTAGGAGTGACCACGCGATAGATAAACGTGAATTGTCAAGAATCTTTATTAACAATGAAAGCTTGTGCGACGTCATATGCACTAGCGTATTTGTAGGACTGCGGCCAGGAAAAGAGGATTTCACGTCGTATGAAGGTAGAAGTCTCCAGGAGTTCAATGACTCCATTACTCGCACTTGTGGTACTAATGAATTGTTAGTTTGCATTGAAAAAAAAAAACAAATAAGGACCAAAGTTAAGACTTTGAGGCCATTTCTAGACGAAAACTTTGAGATCGTGCAGCTCGACAAAAATCTCACCAAATCAATCTAGGTAGGGGCCAACTTGCTAATGTCAATAAGGAGAGGCCTCATCAAGTTTCTAAGAGCTAATGATGACCTCTTCACATTCTCCCTTGATGAAATGCTCGACATCAACCACAACTAAGCATATCAACAACGAATATTGACCCTTTTGTCCAATACATAATTTAGAGAAGGAGACGACAATCCCTCGAGAAATCTAAAGCCACCATGAACACGGTTCAAGGTCTGTTTCATGCCAACTTTATTTCTAAAGTAAAATACAGTAAATGGTTATCCAATGTTGTCCAAATTAAAAAGTTAAAAGGTAACTGGAAAAGAGAGAATGTGTGCAGACTACACCTATCGTCTATCTCAGCCAAGCTTATCCCAAGGATTCACATCCACTTCCAACATCAAAAAACTAGTAGAAAATTCCACCATCTACAAACTATTATCATTTAAGGACATGTATTCTAGATACAACCAAATCCAGATGCACAAATTAGATAGAGACAAAACTGCCTTCATGACTGAACGTGCCAACTACTTATAAAACGTCATGCCCTTCGAAAGAATGCAGGTGCAACATATAAGAGGTGCAACATATAAGAGGCATGATCTTGTAGGTCACTCTCACATTACCTATATTAGACTCCACTGACTTGTGTATTTGAGTGTTAATTTTGTAGGTCTTCTTCGCTCTGTCGTAACGAGAGTCTTTACCACAGCGTATCTAAACAGTTTATATCAGATGAGTTTATTCCTTGAGTATCACGTAACACTTGTTCCACCTAATAACGGTTCTATTATTAATCTCTTCCTTGAGCATCATTGAGCATCACGTATCACTTGTTCCACCTAATAACAGTTCTATTATTAATCTCTTGCTCTTTTTACTTTCTGGACATCTTCAGACAATGATTATATATAAAACAACTGTTCTATTACCAATAAAATAAGAGTTCTGATTCAGCTTAATAAAACAACAGAGTTGGATTTTAAATGAGTAATCAATCTCGTATAGATTATAAATAAACCACTCTGAAACTCTCCCAACAAAGTTTGCTAATCACAATTTAATAACAAACTAAGTGAATCTCCTTCCTACTGATGTTCACCATTAATTACTTATGGAAAGATAAACACAACTCTCCACAATGCTCATTCTAATGATTCATCATCTTTTTGCAGCAATATACATTGTTCATCTTTGTTTGAAACCTCTGGTGCATTTGAATCACAACATTTTGTATAACGAATATCAATCGTCCTTGCCAAGTAATGATGTTGGATCTTGTCATATATGCTCCCTTATTGACAACTTAGATGGCATCAAAACTCTCCAAACAATCGAAGAATCAATGTTTTACAGACTTCAACATTGTGACTATTGACCTTCTGGTTGTGTTAATGATATTCTTTGGTTGGTTTGTTCTCTTTGCATTACTTTGAGCTTCTTGCTATGTTCTTCAATTAGTGCTTGCAAGTTTCTTTGCATCTAAACCCAAAAACAAAACAAAAACAACACTGTAAGAGTAAGCCTAAGAATTGAACTGTGATCTCAACAATACAAACTCAACTACTTTTGTAAGCAAAATTGCTTGTTACCTCTAGCTGCTGCGAAATACTTTTTCGAACCTCTAGTTGCAACTTCTGCGATTCCTCGATTTGCATAATGCTGCTAGGAAATAGAAAAAAAAAACATATATTTAAAAAACTGGTGAAATTTATGAATCTATGTTACATCAGTAACACTGTTATAGATGTCAGTAACTAAATTTATGTTACATTTTGTGTTGAAGTTCTGTGACTCTATCTGTTCTAAATCCTTCCATAGTGTTTTCTGAAAAACAAAGACAATTGTGTCACTCTTATCGACCATATCATTAAAAAGTAAAGTAGTCCAAAATTCTAATTTGCAAAATTTCATAAACTATGCAATAAAAAAATGTAATTTACCCTGCAAAGCTTTATGTAAGCGTATTGTCGATCTACATTTCTGCAAAGAATTTATATAAGAAAAATATTAAAAATTCGATTAGTAGCAAATAAAGCCACAGACAACAATGTTTATGAACCTCATTTGAAATTGCTGAATGAAAATTATTAAAATCTTACCTGCAAATGACTTTTAACATGAGAAAGTGATAGCGAATTTGATTTCATCATATCTAGTATAGCCTTAGGCTTTGCTTCTGCAATGAATCAGTGAACTAATTGAATTGAGTAACAAGATTATTTTTTGCTTAATGTGTAATTAAGATTATAATTTAGTTAAACTTACTTTCTGGACCACCAAGTTGTTCAACTATCATCATGAATAATTCATGCAGTTCTTCTGTCCATCTTATTCTTCTTTTACTTGTTAGAGCTTTCCTTGAACCAGAGTTGCTAGAAGTAACACAGGTGGCTCCATAAAGTTGAGGACTATGCTTTTGTGACTTTGTACATGACACTGACTATAGATTACATTAAAATAGCTTAATTGATTAGTTGGAAAAATTGTTTGATCGAAACTTAACTTTTAACTAGAGCCGTCTTTCAGGTGTACAAAGGCAGGCTAACGTCGGACCCAAAATTTGACCCATTTAAACTATGACTAAATTATACCTCATGAAATATTTGTCACGTTATACCATAACGACAAAATAGAGTCTATATTTTATTTGTTACACTTAAACAGTGATTAACCTATTGCAGGTATCTGAAAACTTAAGATAACTATGCACTTAACCCTATTGAGACTCCGAAAATTTAAGACGACTCTCAGTTAACCCTATTGATAAAATTACAAGCTACATAGAAAGAAAGTAAGAATTACCTCAGTTCTCTGAAAGGAAATTTGAAGGGGCTTCTTCTCATCTAAGAAAGCATCATTCTTCATCAAATCATCATGTTTTTGAGGAAAGTGATTATAAAACGACATATTCCCAGATTGAAAATTACTATATTCTTCTTCTTCAGAATTATGACTATCTTCAGTATTGGACACCAAAGATTCATCAACGGAGTACAAGGAGTTTGTGAACTGAGAAGCAGTGAAGTTATCTCCAGAAGCTTGACAATTCAGCAATGGAGGATCTGTTATCTTCGGAAAGTTATCAAAACACCAATCAGGAACTTCAATCTCATCCTCCTCATAGTATTCTTCACCTTGAAAACTAGAACCGACAATGTTGTTGTTGCAAGGTGATTTGATTGGCTCAAAAGTCACCTGTTCAGATCCAACAACCTTAACTAGGCTGTTGATTCCCATGTAGGATTCCCATTGTGTTCCATACATCCTTGACCAATGTTGATACATAGTTCGATGGTTCTCTTAGCTTAAACTTTTGTGATGTTCATGCGAAACCTATATACTTAAGGAATAAAAGAGGTTTAACAGAAGGTATATTAAACTTCAAATTGTTGTTTGTTTATATTATATATGTGTGTTGAGAAAAGAGAGATAGAGTGAGGAAAAGTTAGAAATGTATATGGACATATATTGAGTCATTGTACAAAGGGAATTTTACAATGTATGAGGACAGGTTTTTTGTTGAAGTACATTTTGACTCATGAAACATTTATATAGTAAAATGCATTGCAGCTTAAGAGAGAACTAAAAGTCGTTAATGTCTTTTAGTTAAATAGAAGACAGACATAAAATGTTAAATCTGGCGTGACTCAGCAGGAGTCAGCATAGCAATATGGACTATGGAGTAGTAGTTTGGATGAGAGGAATGGATTTGATTGGAGATTGTATTTAGAGAGTAAATTAAATTTAACGGTTAAATAAAATACAAATTTAACGTTACTAGGATAAAAATAAATAAAGTTTTCAAAATTATTTTTTTTAGTTTTTATTATAAGAAAAAGTTTATTGGTCAGATTTGTTAAATAATCAATTTAATAGATTTGTTAAATAATCTATTTAATAGATTTTTATAAAAAAAAATTGATTAATTTGTTTTTAACTTAGATATGAATGTCTAAATTATGAATTTGATTAAAACCATATTAATAACATATTCAAACTATGGATTTGGTTAAAACCATACTAATAATTAACCGGTTTTTAATAACTAAATATGAATAATTTAAATAACCGACTTATTTTAGCATCCCTAGTCGAAGCAACCCCCACCTCCTTCGCGGTTACAATTGTCAGAGCATTAAATGTCTCAAAATACCCAATGACTATAGGCCACACTTGAAATACAATGTGCAAACAAACTGATTACAAGCATCTATAACATGATACAATAACATAATGCACATATCCTTAATGAGAGACTTCTCTATATAAAAGAGAACCAACATAAGGTTCCTTGATATATTCCTACTCAATTTAAGGGGCGACAACTCTGGGAACGTTCTAAGGGCCTCTCCTTGCGATGCTGCTTCCCAGCCAAAGAAAGCATCAGAATCATCAGTAGGTCTCCATTACCATTGTCATGGATGAAATTATCCTCCTCATGATTCGAGTGGCGGTGATGATAGCTACACTCATCCTAAAGACCATCATCCTAGGGAGTCCCTCCATGTCACTTCTACTAAAGGGGAAATGAGCACGACACCAATCATTAGGGTCCCTCTCACGACTAAAAGAATCCATTTATCAAACACATTATTTACTGCAAAATTCCCAAGGATCTCTAGAGAAACCAACAAATTTGGATAGTTATGAAAAAACATGTAGAACACATGAAACTATGCTTAATTATCACCACACTGTTTGTATTGACCCTAAAGGGGGACGCCATGACGTGGTTCAAAACCGTGGAGGAAGGTTCCATAAGCTCCTAGAGAAAACTTTGAGATGAATTCACGACAAAGTTCACAACACAAAAGTGTCAGCCAAAAGCGATGTCGCGTGGAATCATATTTTGGAGGTTATTTAAATTAGTGATCAAAGTTAAAGACTATTATGGTTTGATGATTACAACTTGAATGACAACTTAGACAACTTGGATGACAACTTGATTTCATTTGTGAAGAGGCAACCTTTGATAAAACTTAAAGCATAAAGTCAAGCAAGTATAACAAGCGGTCAAAGATTCAAATAAACAAGTTAATGTTTGATGAACACTACAAATATTCTCCGATGATGGCATTCAAATGGAAGTTATCTCAAACCTCATCTCCAAGAAGACTAAATCAAATGCTTGTACGATTGGTATACTTGGCAAGTCTTGAAGCATCAAAATGTGAAAGAGAGAAAGTGTGAAAGCTCGTTCATTCATGTCTAAGTGAACATTGTTTTGTAAAAACACAAGGGCATTCTTATAAAGTAATATGAATAAATCACACACACACACACAAATATGTTTTAAAGCCTCTCTTTCTCAAAGTAAACAACACAAAAACGTTTTGGAGTTGTTCCAGTGGAATCAGAAATTAGTGTTAGTGTAAATTCACCAAGGAGTGTTCTTATCTTGGTTGAATAATTTATCCTTAAGGGAGTTTTTGTTTGGGTTCAAAGCTAAACTTGTTAAAAAACTTTGTTTAGGGATTTAGTTTCTTAAGTTGTCATTTCGGTTTGTAATCTTAGCTTATGTAAATGCTTACTTCAGTTCAAAATCAACATGGTTTAAAATCTCTCCTTGGTTTAAGATCATCCCGGTTTAAAATCTCAACTTGGTTCATGGTCAGCCTATTCCAAACCCTAGTTCGGTTTAAGATAAATCCAATTTAAATATTAACTTAGTTTTGTCATCCTATTCAAAACCTCGATTCAGTTTCAAGAACACCCTATTTAAAACCTCGATTCAGTTTCAAGAACACCCTATTCAAGACTCCTATTTGGTTCGAGATAAGTCCATGTTAAATTTAAGTTTGACTTGTATACTAACCACTTCAATTTCTTATTTGAAAGGAAGACTAACCGCTTCAGTCTGTTGTTTGGAAGAAAGACTAACTGCTTCATTTAAATGTTTTTTGTTTGGTTGGAAGTTAGCATGAAACTTAATTTTTCTATGTATAAGGGAGTTCGAGAGTTTAACCTACTATAAGCACTTAAGCATTACTGGATACTCTCAAGATCAGATATTGGGGACATGATTAGGTTTTCTTGGCTGAACCTGTATAATTCACTAGTGTTATTTCTCTCATCCTTAACTCTTTATTTTCTTCATATTTACTTTCTACTGCTATTTCTAAAATGTTTTTATGAAAATATTTTTAAACTCTGAAAATGATAACAATTTGTTTTCAAACCATCATTTTTCTAAACCCCACAATTCACCCCTCTTGTGTGTGGATTCATATGTCCAACAAGTAGCATTAGAGTCTAACTTTTATTTAAAGACTAAACGTCTCATGACGAAGATGGCTTCCAACACTTTTTTTAACAAGAGATCTTTCCTAAACACACCTCCATTGTTTAATGATGATAGTTTTGAACTATGAAAAACTAGATTTAAAATTTTACTCAAAGTAATTATATTGAATTATGGGAAACGATTATCAATGGTCTGTTTATCCTTACTTACCATATAAATGGAGTATCAGTAGTTAAACCCAATTTCCTTTGGACCGTAGAGGATAAGTGAAAATTTGAAATTGATTTCAAAACTAAGAACTTTTTATAATGTCCATAGATGATATAAAACTTCTTTATATTTATAATTTTAAATCCACCAAGGAAATGTGGGATATTCTTGAAATAATATACGGTGTTTCTCCGAGTACCAAACGAGAGGAAATGAACACACAAGGCGACGAAGATGAATGCTTCATTCATAAATGTCTCAAAATTTAGAAAGGTTAGAATTATACTGGAAAGTTTGTTACTAACTAATATCTAAGAGTTAAGAACTTGAATAAAAAATATGATCAAATCCTTAAATCAAAAGATATGAGTGTTTATGAATTTCAGGAAAAAAGAAGAAGATGAAATCTTAGAAAAGTTGAAAGAATTTGTTTAATTACTCAAAGATGAAGGTAAAACACAAAAACTGAATAATCTTTAATAACATCATCAAGATCCTTCAAAAAAACTCATAAGGTATCCTTCGAGAGAACATACTAAGTAGTAGAATGATCTTTGGAGAACTCAACATCAAATGAAGGAACTCCATCTGTTAGAGGATACCATGAAGAATAAGCACTATCCAGTGGAATCTTCGAGATATGAACTGAAAATAAAACCTTTGAAAATGAGGAAGATTCAACCTCAAAAAGAACCCTTGAAGAATCTTCCTCTAATGAAAAAGACGAAGTCTACTTGAAAGTATCTCACAAAGAAGATGTCAATGAGGTAACAAAACCATCTTACAAACAGTTGTTTAAAATAATTACTAAGTCAATTAAAGAAAATGATAAGATTAAGAAACATAGTTTAAACCTTAAAGAGTATCTAAAGTTTTTTGAATATTCTAATAAAATGCTTAATTTAGAAATAACTAACATTAGAAACTCAGCAAAAACATGTGAGACTTGTATCTCAATGAAAAAGGAAGTGACAGACTAGCACAGAACCTTAAGTAAGTTTACTAAGGGAAAATAGAAACTTGGTTTTAAATATCAAGTTAAATGTCTTCCTTAAATAAAAGTGTATTAGGATTTAAATCTAGTAGAGCACATAGTAAAAAGATAAATAGGAAGAAAATGAATTGACTTGTTAAATGCTCGCATTGTAATTGGTTTGAACACTTAGAGCCATTTTGTTTTAATAAATTGAAAATGTCTAAAGGTAATAACCCTAGAAATACTAGAACCATTAGCACACCAAGACCTAAGAAAATTTGGGTACCAAAGGTGAAACCCTAGTATGTTTTGCAAGGTTGCTTTATAACTTTTATAAAGCCTAAGAGCCTATTAAATGAATGGGTTAAATATACAACACCCCCTGCAATGTAGGTGAGTTTCTGTTTACCCCCTTGAAAACAAATTTTGAATCCCCCCTTGAAATGTTAAAATTTTATGTGTTTTGCCCCCTAAGCGTCAAAGTTACCCCCCTCCAGATTCAGCGTTCAAATTGCACGTTTAGAGAGATAAAACAAAAAAAATATTACAGGGGGGAATCCAAAAAAAAATATTACAGGGGGTAAAGTGAAACTTGCCTACATTGCAGAGGGTATTGTATACTCTTGAGTATGCAAAGAAAAGAGTACACTCTTGAGTATGAAATGGACTTCGGTTTGAAGTCTTTGATCCAAGAATGATTGATGATGGTGATCAATGTAAGGTTTTTCATTGGGGATATTCTCAACAACCGTGATTTGTGATGATTGGCAAAACCTCGTAGTAGGTTGAATAGACATGTTTGGGGTGGACTTATCTGTCTCCCTGTTTAACCGACTCTCGTATCAAACGATTCGT